AGAAGCATATAAAAATATTTGCTGACGATGCTTCTCTTACTGCCTGGAAGTTATGTGACAGATCATCGAGCAATTCATTATGTGACAGATCATCGAGCAATTCATTATGTGACAGATCATCGAGCAATTCATTATGTGACAGATCATCGAGCAATTCATTATGTGACAGATCATCGAGCAATTCATTATGTGACAGATCATCGAGCAATTCATTATGTGACAGATCATCGAGCAATTCATAGGCACATATATATGCGGAAGAAGCTATTCAAGAAGAAGCCTTAATTTTGGAAAAAATAGAAATAAGCGATACCCGTCCTCCGTGAAAATGGCTTAAATTTCTTGGTTCAACGGTTATGACTTTCTTTGGGCTCATTTAATTTTTAATATGAAGAAATGGTTAATAAAAAAACGTTAAAAATTTAAAATACTCTTAAACTCCATATAATTTTTTTTTAAAAGTATGTATCTATATACTAATTCATTTTTCAAATAGTACATATCTTTATAAGATTTAATTAATTTATTTAACTTAATATTGGATTACCTCAATTTTCAACCCTTGACCCTCTTGCTTTTTCAGGACAATGTTCAGTTCGAATTTCAAAACATTGGAATTTATGTTTATAGTCACTCGTTTGATTTGTATCCAACACATCTCCGTTTCTTTAATGAATGTTATGGGCAACTGGTTACCATTGAATAGTGTATTTACACGCTTATCTAGAAATCTAACTAAATTTAAAATTTAATTAATGAGCAAATTTTTAGTTACGTTATGTTGTATTTGACTTTTGCATGCTTAGATCTTAAATTGAAGGCAAATAAAGTAAAGGATGTGATTCTAAGCTTAATTTGGAAAAATGATGGTGTTTAATGAACTCTGAGAAGTTAGAGAACGAGGAACCTACGTGCGGAGTTTATGAAAAAGTTGAAGAACAAAGATTGTTACAAAGATTTTCACAAGATAAATAGTATACCATTTGAAAGATACAGCAGTCTTCAACCCATTTTTCTGTTAGTCACCCTTACCGATTTTGCCTTTATTTTGCTTCCTCATTGAAGCATCGCTCCCCAATCGTAACTCGACAATGCATTAGCAGCAGTAATGGCTGACTATAGTTTTGCATCTCTAGGTAGAAACATGCTCATGATAGCTTCTTGAGGCACATGTACATCCTTAGAATACTACACCATGTCCTAAAGAAAATTTCCAACTTTTTGGCACTTCGGGTACCATCAAACTTTTTGCCTCCTTCAGTTTGACTTTTGAGGTTGTCGTCAAATCTCTAGGAGCAGAGGCAGCCCATTTTAGCAATAAAACTTTGCCTTCTAGCAATGCAAGCCGATAGAAGCGTTCTCATTCAAGTCAATTACGTCTCCTAGCATAGACATAAACTTTTTGTTCGACTTAGCAACAAAAGTTTTGAAAACCTACCTCGGTCCTTCTAGATTCTGCCTCATGTCCTCTATCCACATCGCCAAATTGACAGTATCATTAAACATCAGGGCACCCACGAAATCCTCAAGCATTTCAACTCGATTCCTAAGATTTTGATTTATAGCCACCTTATTGTTTTCTCAACTTGCAAAAACGTACCTTGTTCATTTTCATTCGACAGAATAGTACCCTATACCTATCATAGCACTAAATTATTCAACTTATGACGGTCCCTAGTTTTCTCGTCCTCAGTCAGTAATGTACATGAATTAAGAAAATAACACACAGATTTTACCGGCACCAACCCAACTTTACTTCTCACTAAAACAAAGAAATATGTACAAAACGTGAAAGGGCCAGCGCAACACTTGATGTCTCAATCAATTTTCATATCTGCCTCCCTAAATTAAAGTAATCAATTTTGCACTTTACAGCCCAAACTGCAATGATCAATTTTGCATATTTTCAACCCAATTCAAGCACAAAGCATAACTACCTCTTAATTATTGTCAAATACATGTCTTGTGCTTGGAACTATCACTGATATGTGAATTGAAATTAGCCGGACAAGAAGTTCTCAATGCTATTGAACACATGTCATCAACTTTTATTAAAATCCACTAAAGATACTATATTTTGCGACGACGAATAATGGCTAAATATATTCAATCACTGAAAGAGTAGAAAGGAGAGAATATAAAGCTTTTCATGACACCTTATATTAGGAACAATATAAAAAAGAAGTCCTAATTAAGCCCATATTTGGTGCTGCTTAAATACTTGATTAAAATTTAACTCAAAGTCTATAATTAATTTAAGTCATTTATTTCCTAAAATCAACAACTTTTCAACTATGCATTTCATCGATCTTTGTCAAAATTTGATTTTTATCTACACCAAACAAGGGCTAAACAATAAATAAACTAAAAATTTTCACTCTAATTTTTGCAAGGAACAAAATTTCTACCGCAAAAAACTACAAATGTTATATATTCCCAGACATAAAATTTCATCACAAAAATGGCCACCAATTGAACAAATAATGTCACATTACGTTACATAAAAAATGAGATTTTAGAAACACTATAAAATCATTAACAACAAAACTGTCAATATTCTTCTCTCTTGACTGAAGATCTTCACATTTTGTCATCAAGGGTAGGTTCAGCAATATCACCATCAAATCGATCCAAAATTTTCAGACTGAAACAGCCGATTCGATGAATCACCTAAAGGAAAATCCAGCATTGTAGGATCCAACGAAGGTAAGATTAGATCTAATCGATCAAGCCAATCTGTTGGAGTAGACAAATCAATGCACTCGTTATCGTTGTTTGCAGAAGTGGAAACTGCAAAATTACTAGGATCCGTTGTTGGCAATAAATCAGATAGAGAAGAAAAACATGGAGCCGTCAAATCCAAGTAAATGTCGTCATCATATTTTGCAGATGAAGAGCAACCCACATCACCATTAATGAGGGTAATAGGTTGATACTGATCATTGCTTTCCATTGCCGTACAATTACTAGGCATGTTTGTAATTGAACCAGGTGGTAACGAAGGATTATATTGACCAGGAACACATGCAAGATTCTGAGGAGATGGAAGCAAAGAATATTGAATATTCCTTTGCATTGTCATATGATCACCACGCATATAAGTAAGAGGTGGATTACAGGGCTCGACCGGTGGATATTGATCATTATTGCTTTGCCTGGCTGGATTTGCTTGGGGGTGTGGAAAATATGCATCTTGCGAGAATGGTTGATCAAATGGTGACGGCAGATGATTTTGATTAGACGTTACTGCCAGATTTGCAGCAGCGACATGAGCCGTGTTATTGTCTTGAATAGGAATCAAGTTTTCTTGTCTATCTTGTTCTTCGTTTTTACTTGATTTGGATGTTCTGTAGTAAATTCTACACAGACACTTATCCAGCTGCAAGAAAATATATAATAAATTAGTGTTACAAACATCTAAAAGTTTACAATCATGATTGATGTATAATCATGGATGACGATCTTGTTTACAATATGTCATATGGCAAACAGTCATTGGATAATTTAAAAAATAACTTGTTTTTGCAACTAACTTTTTTTTGACAACTGATACATTGTCAACCACATTGTCATCCACGATTGTACAAATAGATTAATCCAAAAACTTATTTTTGTCAAATGGGATACAAAAAAACCCTAGTGTTTCAATCCCAAACAACAATAAAATATAAACCCAATTAATTAATCAAAGAATATGAAAATTGTTACATACCATCTTGTCATCTGGAATAGGGTTTGTAGAAGATCTTGCAACATCCTTCATTTGATGAATCGTAAACTCATGCATTATCCAGTTAGTCTTTTGATTCTTAGATTTGCCTTCATAATACACAAGCACTTTTTTGCGTCCAACTTCTTGGCCCTTGCTTTGGACAACGACATCGCCTCCGGTGGCTTTCCAGTAACCATTAGCTGCTGTTCGGTTTGGCCGACCACCATTATTATACCTCCTAGCCCTCGAGGTAAAAAAGTACCACTCTTTTGTTCCATGCATTCTACTGTTTTCTGCACCGAATTAAGATGTTAATTTAATTTAACCGTAGTTAATTGATATCTAGTTAAACAATAATTTTCATAAATAAAACCATAATTCATGAAAGACCTACAGCATCGTTGGTTTTAGGATTGAATATCTTTTATTGCAATTCTGAAGTCCATCCCATCGTATAAAGTTTCAACGAATAAATCCAATACATATATTTAAATAAACCTAAAATAATATGTCCTTCATGTCCAGAAGCAGCCATGCATAGAAAACGTTTTGTCGATCAAGATTTTCTGATGATCATATTATAAATTCCAACAAATGAAGTTCTAATGGGGAGGAGAATATAAAAAGAACCATCAAGAAACATCAAGAAACGATTAAACTTACGGCAAAGATCGTGGGGATGGTACTTGTAGAGCTCGACATCTATTATGGCATCGGTCGGCACAGGTTTGTTGAGAATCTTGAGGTTCAAGTAGTACAACAGATCCTTATCAGTCGGAACGAATCGGTAACCAAGCGGAAGATTCTTGTGGTCATAAAAATGCGAACCCTCTTCTTGTGCGGCCATGACAACTTGCTTGCCTTCATCCATTGTTTTTGCAGTAATAGTAATAATATATGTTACGGGATCGTACTGATTAGGAGTATATAGTAGTAATGAAGACTGTAGGGAGAGAGGCTAATTAGATTTAGGAGAGGAATACGTGCTTGAGTAATAATATTTGTACAGAAATCGTACTTATTACGAGTATATATAGTAGTAATGAAGACAGTAGGGAGAGAGGCTAACTAGATTTAGGAGAGGAATAACAGGAATCGGATAAGGCCCAATCTTGTCGAATGATGTTTAGGCCCATGAAAATGGGCTGGTAAAATAAATGGGCGCAATTACTAGAAAATAAGGCACAAAAATGGGCTTATATGATGAGGCCAGAAGGAGACCAAGATTGACGGGAAGGGAAAGGCAGTTCAGCTCTTAGATTTAGGGCACGTTTGGTAATACTTTTAAAAAGTATAAAGTTATATCTGATACTAAAAAATTATTTTTGGATCTTTTGGATAATTTTTCAAGTGTTTCTTACTTTTAGAGTATGTTAATTTAGAGTGATTTTATCAATAAAATTTTCGATGAAAACAGACGTCCTGCCAATGAGCCCTTAACTTTTATGCAAAAAGATTTAGGAAAATTTATTTTTTATTTAAAAAATTATTTCTTTATTTATTTTACAAATACATAAATTACTAAGTAAATAATTATTTTATATTAACTAAAATACTGAATTCATTAATAAATATAAAATATATAGTACAGTTAATAGAAACACTACAAAAAGGAAAATATTAAATCATGCCATTAAACAATAGTGCAATGAATTTTGAATTTGGATATTATGATATTACGAAATTGAAATAATGCTGCAATTTAGTTCTCGAAATTTGCATTTTTTACATTATTAAAAGTTATTTTAAAAGCAAATAATAAAAAAATTTAGTATTAAAAATTTATAGCACAAGTGACACAAATACCTTGCATCAATTAGTTTGGTAAATGGAAGAAAATTGTAAATTTGACTTTGTAGCATTTGGTGCCAAATAAATAGTGTGCAAAATTTGGCGTATTTTGGTGATTTGGTGCATCCTTCGGAGTAGAATCTTGAATGTTTCTTCTACCTTTGCAATTGCCTACTCTAGACGGCATGGGACCAACCATAAACATCCACATTCTTTCATGCTTTGAACAATTTTGACAATTTGGAAATATTGATTCAGGGGGAGATAGAGGGGGACATTGCTGGGATGTAGCCTAGCATTGTCCCCCCAGCCCATATAAATATTTAAGAAGAAGGGATGTAGACTTTTGGCCCAAATATTAATATTAGTCCAACTCTTTTGTAAACCTCAACCCAACTTCAACGCTCAATTATTCAAATTGTATTAAAGACACTATAATTATTAATTATATTTTTTCATGGCATTCATAAAATTTGAATATTTTATTGTCATATTAGATATTTTATTTAATGCATATTTGACTAAAATTTACATATAATTATTAAGTAAATTTTATTATAGATAATTTGTATTGATTGGATTTAAAAGTAAATTAATTATTCTAATGGATAGAGACACTGCATATTTTTTTCTAAATTTAAAAGTAATTAATCTTTTTTATTACTACATATGTTTTTATTTATTACTAATTCATATTTATAAAAAAAAAATTACTTATTTTGACCATAAAATAGATATTATGATCAAAATAAATAACTTACTCTAAATTTGATATCAACAATAAAAAGAGTATTTGTGAAAACTTTCAATTGTTTGGAAATATTGATTGTCAAAGTTACCAGAAGAGTACTCATTGAGTAATTTTTTAATTTTTTGTTGATGGATATGTATTTTTGCTTATTTCTATTATAATTCGGCTAGTTTATATTTTTTAAGGTAAGTGTTGATTTTTTATTTGGTAAAAAAATACAAATATTTAGTGGAATATCTTAATGTGAGATATTTAAACATCTTTTTTTATTTCATCGAGTGTCGTATACTTTTTATTGTGAATGTTATGAAAATAGGCTCCGAAACTCGATCTCTTGTGGCATAAGTTCATTTAAAAATTTTTAAATTTCAGCCCATCCTAACATCAGTGTTTGGCTCTGCCCCTAATTGAATTGTAACTACATTTTGGACTCTAGTTTGAGTGTCAACCAAAATGAGAGAAGACATAAACACCCTATACACCACAATATTTTTTCTTAAAAAAAATAAAAAATAAAAAAATAAAAAAAAGAGAGGAAGGTCGATAATAATTTACTCGTATTTTTAGGTTTGTAATTCTATCAATTAACTGAAAAGTGAGTATTCCAATTTATTAAATTGATAAAGAGAAATTCTAATTAGTCAATGAGATCTAAACAAAAGGGTGTACCTATTCGAAACAATAGTGGGTGAGTAAGTAAAGATATTCACCAAAATAGTCCCCAACTTCGAAAGAAGGCATGCCTCTTCTCAAAGGGATCGGAGTGACAAAGCTATTGGCTATTTACAATTATAACCCTATTTCTAGTGACTAATGTATACATTTTTTGGATAAGGTGAGTAATGTATAAATTCCACTTCACATGGATTTAAAATCCCTTTAAACCCCATGAAATGAGATGGGATGAGTGGGGTATATGTCTATTCCCACGTATTCCAGAGCTTACCCAATTCTATATATGTTGAAACGATTTTTTCTTTGTTGGGGGGGGGGGGGGGGTTGGGGGGGGTTTTTTTCCCTTTGAATTCATTTTTGAGTAGTGATTTGATGAAAAATGTGTGGCTAAAAATAAAGAAAAGTTTTGAATTTGTGTATAATATTATTTTATTGAAAAATGTATAAATGAAAAAAAGAGAGAAAAAAATGTATTTTGAAAAAAATAAAAATCGAACAAGGTCTAAAGTTTAAAGATAACAATTATTTTATTCAAATTAAACATATATAATTCCGTTATAAGAATAAACGGGACTTATCAAATGACATTATTGACAAGTTTGTATAAGTCAAAGGAAGAGGGTAGATTCGAGTCTTTGGGTTAAACAGGTATCTCTCGATTCTACTTCGGCCTTTGGGTATCGTGGGCGAGATTGATATTTATCGATATCCTCTTCAGTGACGTCAATTTCCACTAAAAGACACTGTTCTATAACTGCTGAGTAGAGGCAGCAGCCATTGTTAGCAGTCACATATCACTTATAATTCAAAATTATTTACGTCTGTTCTGGAATTATTTGATGCGCCATCTCACCCTTATATCATTATCTTCTTCTTCTCTCAAATATTCCATTTCCACTTTTCTATCAAAGACCCAATAAAAAAATATACACAGAAAAAATGAAACCAGCTTCCATCTCCTCCAGATTTGCACCGCTACCATTACGGCTGCCGCCGCCGCCCGGTCCGGAAAAATGCGAAGGCCACAAGTGTCCATGGTGGCCGTATTCCAGTTCCAAAGAGTTCAAAGCTAATTCTGTTATGATACTCATGGTATTATTATGTGGGTTGATAACTGCTTTAGCTTTCAACGCCGGAATTCGCTATATCATACGGTTGCATTGCAGAAGGAGACGCTCTCAGCAGCCACCAGTGAACGAGGATGTCGAAATGGCCCATCCAAAGACGGAGGAGGAAGAAATTCCGACGGTGATATATTCACCGGGAATGAAGCTAGCAGGGGCGGAGGCGGAGTGTGCAATATGCTTATCGGAGTTTTCAGATGGAGAGAAGGTCAGGGTTTTGGAAAAATGTAATCATGGATTCCATGTGCAGTGTGTTCAGAAATGGCTAGTTTCGCATTCTTCATGTCCCACTTGCCGAACCAATTGTTCTGAATGAGATAATCTCCTTTAGACTCCATTTTATGTTGAGAATGATGGGATTTTAGATGATCAGTTCCAATTTTGGGTATGTGAATCTAACAGCTTTTTTTTTTCTCACGGGCTGATTTGCAGATTTTTTTTTTTTTTTTTTTTTTTTTGCTAACTGTCAATAAAATCGTGCCAAATGGAAGTCTGTAAAAATTCTGTCAAAGTTTGCCTGTACTTTGTGGCATTTTTCATTATTTTTGATTTGTTGAATAAAGATGTTAATCTTAAGCCAGGTGATGATTGCTGAGTGAAATTACTGCTGGTCTTGATCCTGCCTTGCATCGATTATTTCACTCTTGTAGTTAATAAGACTATAGTACTCAAAACTCAAAACAATAATGTAGTTATTGATTGAGCCATGGATAGTGTATAGAAACAGTCGCTCTTGGGGCATAGCCCAGTGATGTAAAGAACAGGAGTGAGATTATCTCAAGTCTTGCTGGAAACCGCAATGTGGGGGTTCGATTTCTGAGACATGAAATTGGACTCTTTGTAGGCGCAGTGTACAAACAATTCTTGTTCCCTGTCTTGATGGGGCACATCCCGTAATTTACCTCCCTCACAAAGCTCTACGAGCACGGCGATGAGAGTTCTCAGGATTGGGGTTCAACCTTTTTTTTATTTTTATTTTTAGTGTATAGAAACTGTCATAATCAATTCATTGATTATTCTGCTCTGCTGCAGCACCGTAATACGTAGCAGAGACTGTGAAGTACCTGGAGCACGGCGATGAGAGTCCTCAGGATTGGGGTTCAACCTTTTTTTTATTTTTAGTGTATAGAAACTGTCATAATCAATTCATTGATTATTCTGCTCTGCTGCAGCACCGTAATACGTAGCAGAGACTGTGAAGTACCTGAAACTTGGATAATTCATTTCTGAAACTTATGTGATTCTCTTATTGGGAATTGAATTATGTTGTGTCACTTTTTATGCATCCAAGAAGGGCAAAACCGGCTGGTAGTACATTTTATTCCGAGAGTAGACAAATATATGGATTTTTATGTGATCCATGATCAAACAAGGGTCCATAGCTCAGTGGTAGAGCATTTGACTGCAGATCAAGAGGTCACCGGTTCGAACCCGGTTGGGCCCTTTTAGAACCTATTCTTTTATGCCCTGATTGAAACAATATTCTGCATGTAAATTATGGGGAAGAAGAATATAAACGACTCCATAGAATCTTATTACCAATAAAAAAAAAAAAAAACCAAAAAGGAATTTGTTTATATTTCAACTTTACTTGTCTTCCAGTTTCTGTGTTTATGTACCGATTGAATAGGCCAATAGACCAGTCTTTGTCATAGTGTATATTGCAAGTCCTTAAACGGTTCTCTATATGTCAAAACATTCTCACGACAAAGTAGAAATAACAAACAAACACTCAGCATGTGCAAAATAGTCACATTTTATAAAGGGTTGTGCTTGGTTTAATAATTTTCAATTAATTTTCAATAATGCTATAGGTATAGAAAATTTTAACAAAAATTTTTGACAGACAATAGATGGCATGAAATTATTAGAAGATAGAAAAACACACAAGTGAATTAGGTTTTGTCATGTCTGTAGCTGTATGAATTCGGTAAAGAATTCTCTTTACTTGAGGCACCACGTGTGGCACACCCATGGAGTGTATGGAGACCCTTCTGTACATAAAATTATTGTACAAATAAATTTATCCTTTTATGAAATACGCCCTTAACAACCTCAATCTCTTCACCTCCTCTTGCTTCAGCACCTTGCATACGACCAGATTTTGTCAGCATTTTCCAGCTCCATAGCTAATAGAAAGAACGAATTTTATTAACACACACACATAGGGGCGGATCGGGGGGATTTTATAGGGTCAATCAACCCACTGGATTTTGGGGTTGGGGGGGGGGATTTGTTTAGCTTTTTTTTCTTAGACGATACTTACAGTTTTTATTTCTGACCCCCTAACCTAAGTTGTCTGGGTCCACCTCTATATATATATATATCGCAACTGAGAGACAAGAAAGAATGCTCATGGAGTAGAGAGCGAGAAATTCACGGAAAGAGTAAAAACTGGGTGAGTGGCTAAAGAGTAAAGACTAGAGTTTCCTCATTTTGTATGAGGACCCTAGTCCACTGATATAAAGCAGATCCAAGGGTCATGATTTGTCCTCTGGCCATTGAGCTACACTTAAAAGTGTTATACCTCTAAATGAAAATATCTCCACTTGGGCCGGATCAACGGATCAAAAAATGTGTGAAACAATCGGACCTTTAAAATTCTTCAAGGGAAAACTTCATAAGTACACGTGTATTGTATCTATTACATAATTTACTGTAATTTATATTGAAATATTCATTTTACTAATTACACGCATAATATGATCTTTTTTATTTGCTTCTGGTCTTTTCATATTTTGTTTTGTAACTGAAGAAGCTCTGACCAATGTAACAGGTTAAAGACTTCAATGTTGGGTAGCTGATTATATGGGATTTGAAATTCAAATTTATCCGATTAAGTGGAATACGAAATAAATTGCATACCTAATTTGAAAATCACAACAAAGAACTCATTTTCAATATCGCGTTCATACCTTTTTTTCGAAATTTACATCATCTCGATTGTGAACGTCTTGGTGTTTGGGGATTCCAGTATTTCCTACATTCAGAGGTGGATTTAGGGGGGGCTGTAGCTCCCCCTCTCAGGCCCAATAACATTTTGTAAGGTATTTTTTATTTTTTTCGGGATAAAAAATCAGTTTTTTATGTGTAAAATTATTTTTTTTTCGATATAGTAGTCCGATTTGAAATTTTGTAGTCCGACCTTGGATTCAATCCTGGATCCGCCCCTGCCTACATTCTTCGACACATATGGTACTTAACATAGCATTTTATGCAATATTTTTTGTGGATTGGTGTAAAATAGTTCCATGCTTGATTTGGATTTGCAGATATTTTGAAGTACAAGAGTATTTCTTTTCGGGTATTGGTTAATCAATTCATCAATCAGAGTGTGGCATATATTCTTTCGCTGATATATACTACGTGTAATATCAATGATTATGATGGGCTAATCTACGAAATTAAATTAGTTACGAGTGTTTCATCCATTTCACTTTCGTCTATATTCTTATTTTGGTATGATTGATTAAAAAAATTGTTGGCTGCTATAATAAATTTGTGGTTCTGATATGGCATCTAACGATGTCCATTTAAACGCATATTGAAATGTTTTCATATTGCATAATGTATGATACATATGTATAATTTTATTCCCTGGTCATATCATCGTATATTGTGTTTGTTGAATGTGTATTGAGTACCAAAGATAACTCAGGCTCAATTTTTACCAACTTCCAACACCATAAGCCGACAACAACGACCCAAGATACTAATCCAGCTTCCACTTTCGGTTGCCAATGAGATATTTCACATAGGAGACCACAAAGATGCTAGAAATCTCATGTAATATCACCACTAAGGTAAGAATCACAAAGAGGCAGAAAAGGTAGAAGGAAGAACACGTAGAGACCGGCCGAAAATGAGAGGCAGTGAGGACGTCTCTCATTTTGAGAGAAAGAGACCAATATATCTAGTAACCATTCACCCAAATAAGGTAAGCATGGGTAGGTTAACCAATGAGTCAAATTAGAGGCCCAAGAGATAGTTAAACGGCCTTACAAGTTGTTCTCTCAATTAGTGGCATCCAAGGGAGTGGATTGGGCTACGAGCAACATTAAAATATTTAGGTTGCTTCGAGTGATCCAATTAACCGTTCGATCGTATTGTCTTAAATGTGGAGTTAGATTCCCGTTCAATCATTTGGCTAAGCCGACTGAAAAAATAAACCTAGTAACATCATAGCCGGGGGGAGGTCATTTGATAACAAATTGCCTAACAATCTTCACCTTAGTGTCAAAGGACTTGCAAAAAGAAAACGTCTCACATTAGTGACACCTCTAACAGAAAACCAATAAGATTGGAAATCATTTACATGTACCAATGTTTAGAAGACCCTTACAACTTCTAAACTTTACCAGTGGCAGCACTTTCGTGCCCATATCAGAAGGGTTGTATTGTGTGTGAATTTTTTCAAACCTTACCACCTCTTGAGATACTATATCTCTAACAAAGTATAGTCTAATGTCAATGCATTTAGTGCATTCGTGAAAAGCAGGGTTACTGCATAAATGTATAGACGACTGACTATCATAATTTACTACCACATGATCATTTAAGACACATAGTTCATGTAGTAAGCCTCTAAGCCATAGAGCCTCTTTAATTGCTTCAGTGGTAGCAATATATTCGGACTCGGTAGTGGATAGTGCAACAATGTGTTGTAATTGTGATTTTCAACTAATACATGAATTAGATAAGCATTGCTTATTAGCACTAAATTTTAGACCTATCTACAAAATCTTTCAATTTCACACATTGCTTATTAGCACTAAACTTTAGACCTATGTCACATGTACCCTTTAAGTATCTTAATAGCCACTTTAATGCTTCCCAATGTTCAGGACTCGGATTAGATATGTACCTACTGAGAGTATTAACAACAAAACCTAAATCTGTTCTAGTGCAAACCATTAAATACATGATGTGACCAATCACATTAGAATACGATATTCTACTCATGTACTCTACTTTACGTTCATTGCAAAGAGGTTGTTTTTTTATAAAAGAAAACAAGTATCATAATAGCCACTTTAATGCTTCCCAATGTTCAGGACTCGGATTAGATATGTACCTACTGAGAGTATTAACAACAAAACCTAAATCTGTTCTAGTGCAAACCATTAAATACATGATGTAACCAATCACATTAGAATACGATATTCTACTCATGTACTCTACTTTACGTTCATTGCAAAGAGGTTGTTTTTTTATAAAAGAAAATAATTAGCAAGAGGTAACGTGATAGGTTTGCAATTACTCATTAAATTTTTTTAACACCTTAGATATATATGGAGACTAATGCAAACACAGGACAGAATTTGACCTTTCTTTTTCTATTTCCATGCCTAGAATTCTCTTAGCCTTTCCTAGGTCTATCATGTCAATTTCACCTCTTAACTTTGCTTTTATATTGTTTATCCACTCAGAAGAAGAACTAATCAAAAGCATGTCATCCACATAGAGCAACAAAAATAAATAATTATTATCAGTCTCGTTGTGTTGTAAATATAAACAGTGATCGGATTTGCTTCTTTAGAACCCTATAGTAAGTATAA